AAAAATCTTTTTTTATTTTAACCTATCATTATTTATTTATTTTAATTAATTATCCTATCATAATAAATCTTAATTTGTCTTTTAACTTTTTTTTAAGAATAATATACATAAATATAAGAATTTGGAGAAAAAATAAAAAATTGATATTTATTTTGAAATAGAGCAAATATAATACAAACTAAGATTAAAATTTCATTTGGGAATTTTAGACATATATAATTAATAGGTTTTTCTAGCATGGGTGCAATTATTGTACTTGTTTGACATTAATAAAAGGTAATATTTATTTAATTAACTGTTTAATTAAAATAATGTACATGATACTTGCCACGAAAGTAATATCAATTTTTGTAATTTTTAATACCAGATAAGGATAAAATTGCACAATATTATATAATTAACATGTGCCTTTAGAACAACTCATAATTAATTTTAAGATTTGTCTAATATATATTTTAAGAGTACAGATTAAGAATGTATTAATTACACTTTTTTATATTTAATTTATATTAAAAATTACAAAAATTGATATTTATTTTAATACTATTGGCACATAAATAATTTTAATTAGTTAATTGATTATATTAAAGCTGATATTTACATTTTCAATGAGAGTTAATTATAAAAATATGTATTAATTATACCTTTAACTTGTACCTAAAAAAAAACCATATTTTTATTAGTAATGTTATATGTATACTTTTAATTAGATGATTAACAAAATCAAAATTATTTTTAAATTTTTAATATAAATTAAGGGAAAAAGAAAAATTAAGATATCCTGACGTTAAAAATGTCAAGATGTTTAATAACAGTTATATGATAAATTTAATAAAATTAGAACACACGCTATACCCCACACATTTAATAATTGTGATTCGACAAATGTCAAGACATCTTATTTTTTCTTTTTTCATAAATTAATAATAAAAAAATATGATAAATACACAAGTTAAAAATTTCCTGAATTTTATTGGAAAATAAGTTAGGCTCCATTTGACATTTCTAACTTTTAGTACTCTCTTTACATTTTAATTTTGGGTGTTTAAATTAATTAATTATTTTTTATCTTTGAATATCATTTAATACATCTATTTCTATTTTACTAATGATTATAATAC